CTTGCACAGTGCCAATGCAATTGAAATTTAGAGACAAAAAATGTAGATATTTTGGGTTACACGAACAAGCAACGTACACTACTTTAGAGCTTCGATTTTGGGGCTGAGTTTTGATTGGACTGGAGCGATCGCGTGCTACTCAGCGCTTATTGGTCAATTTTAAGTTTGGCGCAGGCATTAGAGTTGAAGTGCGCAGCATTCCTCGGCACCTTGGGTCCTCCGACGGCGCTGGCTTCTTGGTGCTCTTGGTTTCTTGCTGTCCTGTTTCTGCTCTCGTTCAGCTATCTCTGTGTTTTGTAAGTTTTTCTCGTCCATGTGGGCGATGGACTCTACTGTTCCAGTGACTGCCTTAAGTACTCCCTTCTGTTGTTGAACCGCAAAAATCTTTTTCCATTACTTTATAACGTTTATCGTTATGGCATAATACCGTTTGCTAGAGCCATTGCGTGGGCTGAACTCCGTTTGTTCTGTTTTACACGGAATTTGTAAGGAGCATTTTTACCTTTTCTCTCGGAAAGTGTCCTGAACCAACTGTTTCACTCTTTTGCAGGCCTTGAAACCGACTAACAAGTGCCGATGGCTTTACCGGGTTGGGTGAAATGGATGTTGAAGTACAGAAGTCTCATCTTCCTCATTGTCTATCCCATCCTTCTCAGTCCGCTTGTTATTTTCCACAATACTAGCGTAAGTTTATCGTTTTTTTATTTATTTGAGGTTAAGCGTATACACTTAGTTATGTTCAAATAATTAAATGCCTCCGCAGTTCCCGTCAGTTTAGAGTTCAATTAATATCGTGCCTAGCAGGTCGTTAACATGTAGATTAATTGCTTTTCTTGAAAGCTGGGCTCATTTAGTAGGCAACTACCTGGAGTTTTTGTTTTTAGAATGACAGTGGCTATTATAATTTTTTTGAGATCAGAGATCTATATACTGTTCTCTCAGCTTTCCCAATGTTCGTGCTGATAAATGCTATACTGAATTTTGGTACTGCTTGTGCTTAGGGCTGTCGTACTTTCCGGGTGCATCAAGAGAGCCTCCATCACTGTTTATTTAATAAAATTAACTATTTGGAGCCGAAGCGGCATGCTTAACAGATTTTTCGGCAGTCTTCCTACGTTTTTATACATATTTTTGCCAGGCGATATTTTTAGGGAATCAGACCGAATGTTCAAAGCCACCATAAAGCAGAAATCAAGCAAAATCTTTCACCGGCCCGCTAATTTAGCAAGGGCCGTAGTGTGGAACGTAAACGAGTTTCCGCGTGTCAAGATTTAGTATTGGCTGTGCGTTTAAGTACTGGCACTCGTATCACAGTTTTAGCGCAAAACTCTCAGATAGATGGATTTCTCTTGCTCAGACGACAAAAAATATCGCATAGACTGACGCCTCGACTACGGAGCTGCAGTTCCGAGGCCCTGAGTCACTGCACAGCCACAGGAAATTCGAAACTGATTTGACAGAATTCAGTGCTATCTGCTCAGATAATACCTTGCCCTGACATACACCCAAATTTCATTCAGTTGGGTTCTGTTATGTTAAGCTTCCGTCAGGCTTGTAAGAATTTGTAATGAAATGTCCAACACTTCACGGTCTCAGCCAGAAAGTCTTGAACAAGTTATGACTAAATGCATCCAGAAGATACTCGATGCTGAATAAGGAAGGCCGAGGCATACTTAGATGCGTAGCTGCATGCCTCATTTCTTTCCTCCCTTAGTGTTATTGAAAAATTAATATTTTCTGACGAAATATTTTTACCAAGAAATGGGTCCTTTGAAAAGTTTTTTTGTGGCAAAACGCGAATGAACCTAAGCATTTTTATGTTAGGGACTGACCACTGTTGTTTGTTGTCCTGTATTTATTCCAGGAGGCTAAAGGTGCTTATGCCTTGTTGCTGATGGCGGGCTATTGGATAACCGAATGCATACCAATCTACGTTACAGCCCTTCTTCCCATTATCATGGCACCTTTGATGGGTCTACTCTCGTCAAACAACACCTGTATCGAATACATGCGGGTAAGAAACCTAGTTAAGAATATACTTGGAGAATCAGTCCTTTCATCGCATACAATCAACTACATTTTAAGCGACACTGATTAACTTTGTTCTTAGGCCTTGCAATTGAGCTTCCATATTCGTTTTTATAGTTTTGTGTTAATCTGACGTAACACTGACTTGCATCTGTGATCGTATTCAGCATGCGGGTTAAGCCAGCTTCGCTTTGTAGGGTTGCTGCAATACCGATAACTGCTTCTCGTTGCATACGGTCGATGCCCAACTCCTTATCGAAGTAGAGCTGACTGGCACATTGGCCCCGCAAACCAAAGACTACAGGGCCAGAGGTGCGCTTAAAGTTACCATTCGCCTCGTTTAATTGCCAATCACGTTGTAGTCTCGACTACATCGCTCTTAAGTCAACGCGCCGAAAACCTCTGAGTTGACGAATAAGGAAAACAAACTTAAGGAGTCGAGTTCTCGACCGACTGTATAGACCTTGGTTTGAGATGCGCTCGAGGAAACGGATTCCTAGAATTGAGCACAAGCACTATCAATCGCATGTATCCAGGTAATTTAACGTATCCGGGTGTATGGGTCATTATTCATCCGCATAGGATTGTCTTGACGGAAACCTCATGTGCTTGCAGCTTGGTCTTCAGATTGATCTTAAATGGGTTAAACAGTTGTACCGAAATCGTAGAAAGGTCACGTGCGCCTGGTTAGTCTGCTGATTGGTTGTTTTTGAATGAAATAGGTAATAATTTTTATTCTGAGAAGAAGACGACTCTTCTCAATTACTTCCTGGGACTCTCATGTTCACTTGTATTGGCAACTTTTATTCTGACGTCGGTTGACAGACACCGATCGGGGAGCTTGAACCTGGATAAATGACCGAAATTTCGATCTTATCTGCCACAGCTTGCATTTGTTCGAGACCACGAAATAATAGATTATCATCGTCTTAAATGACCTAATTCGAGGCGTTCTCCGGCAGCTATTGTGCCTGTTTAAGAAACTGCACGTCAGGTTTGTGCAAAGGAGATTGTCAGAACCGGGGTGGTCTACCGGCACATGCCAGCTT